TTTCACTAAGTGCTTGGAAGATTTTTTTCCCCAAGCAGGCATCACATCACGTGGCCTAAAGGCATGAGACCACCACCAAGGAAAATGTACCCAGCCTTGCAGGCAGCACTTCAGTAGCAAACACCTTGGGGACTACCTGCCTCTTGGATCCTTCTCTAGCCTGCATTTATTGGGAAGATGGGAGCACAAAACAGCACATCTCCCAGGGCTTCCTTCTTCAGCATGAAAAACATAGGTAATATAATTAGTCCGAAGCTTAAAAATGTTTACATTACTTGAGACCAGTGCAGGCAGTCTGATGACCTGCAGAGAGAATTACTCCAGCAGGAACACCTCCTTCATAAATCATTCCATTTGTTACTCAACCTCAGTTTTACAAGTTTATGCTCAAATTAATCTTGAATTCATCTGCCCGTGAAACAAGCAGTCTTGCAGCCAAAGCTGTTCCCTTTCCTGCTCATGAAGAAATACTTCGGGGAAAAAAATTAAATCCTACTTTCATGACCACGTATTCATTCACAACTGCACCGAGGACAATCACAGGTCCAACTCCCAGGAGCGGCTACAAAACCAGCCCAGCCTGAGGAGGGGTGATCCTTCACCGGCGTTACAGCCACCGGCACTGCGGGACACTCCGGGCTGGGAACACGCTGTGCTCAAAAGCCGCTGTGCCTCAGCCCTTGGGGAAAACTCTCCTGGGACCGTTCCCAGCCCCGGCCCCTCCACCTGGCGGAGCGCCGGGGTCTGCGGGGTGAGCGGCACCACCTCACGCGTGTCCCGCCACCGCCGGCTCCGCTGCACCCCCGGGACACCGCGACGGACCCTCCCGGGACACCGCGACGGACCCTCCCGGGACACCGCGACGGACCCTCCCGGGACACCGCGACGGACCCTCCCGGGACACCCCGAGAGCCGCTCCCAGACTCGGCAGCGCCACTCCCGCGCCGGCTCCTCATCGACCGACACCGCCCCGGGGCCCCCCGCGCGGGCCCTGAGGGACCCCGACCCACGGCTGCCCCTCCGCCCCGACCCCCGCCCCTCCTCCCGCCCCGGGCCCTCCGGTACCCGCGGCGGCAGCACCCCGTCCCGTCCCATGCCGAGCCGAGCCGAGCCGCCGCTCCCGCCGCTGAGCGCGCTCCGCCGCCCGCTCCGGCCGCCCCTTCCGCACGGCCGGGCCCGCCCAGAGCCGCGGAGCGGGAGAAGGAGGAGCAGGAGCTGTGGAAGAAGGAGGAGGGTCCCGCCGCAGCGAGCCCCCGAGTCCCTCTCTCCCTCACCACTGGTCCCCCGCCTCAGCCCCGGCCTGCGGTTCGCCAGCCACCGCAGACGGTGGTTTTTAGTTTCCCCTCATGAAATCCACCAGCGATTATACAATCGTAGAATCGTCAAGGTTGGAAGAGACCTTTATGATCATCCAGATGAACCATCAACCCAGCACTGCCACGGTGACCTCTAAACCACCAAACCACATCGCCCAGCGTCAGATCCAGACTCCTCTTCAAACACCCGCAGGGATGGTGACTCCACCGTCTCCCTGGGCAGCCCATTCTAATACTTTACCTGAATCACCCCTATCTCAGCTTAAGGCCGTCTCCTGTGGCCCCCTCCCTGCAGGCACGGCAGAAGGGACCGGCCCCTATCTCAGCACACCCTGCTGTCAGGGAGCTGAGGTCTCCCCTGAGACTCCTCCAGACTGATCAGCTCCAGCTCCCTCAGCCACTCCTCGTCATACTTCTCTTCCCTTTCACAAGCCTTGCTGCCCTTCCCTGGACATGCTCCAGCCCCTCAGTGTCTTTTTTGAAGTGAGGGGCCCAGAGCTGAACACAGGACTCGTGGTGCAAGTTTACTGAGGGTTACTTCATCTCTTGCTCCAGCGGGTTTCCAGCCCTCACTGGCCATCAGTAGTGCCCTCTGGCAAAGCAGCTTCCTCCGGGGAAAAAGTACAAATAAGACGGAGAAGAGCCCTATTGGTGCAGCTGGAAGGGGGAGACAGCTGCAGCACTTCAGCCCAAAGCAGGCCCCATGTGCTCCTGCACTGCAGATCTGATCATGTTGCAATTATCAGAGATCATCTGTGGAGGAGACACCCAGAGACACCTGAACAATGCTGCAGGTGAGCCCTGTGATATTCAGGACAACCTCGTGGAGTCTTTTCCTAAGAGAGCTCCCAACTTGTCTGGCTGCAGGAGCCTCTCCCTTCAATTGCACACACATACTGACCCACCCCCCCCACATGCCCTCATGGGGCACCTCAAAATCTCAGCTGGAACAGTTGCACCTCCACTATATCTCCCTCTCCTTCACAAACACTGTCTCCCAGCACTTCTCCTTGTACCTCCCTTGTCCCATGCTGTCCCTCCCCAAAAGTCAAATACAGATGCCTCCCTTTTGGTGTACCTCTTCATTTTAGTATCATTGAAATGTGCTAGAAGTCCTTTAGCATATTCTAAAAACACCAGAAAGCACTTGACAGAAAAGTCTTCAAAAGCTCCTCTCAATTCCATTGTCAGAGATGAGGGAAACAACCCTGTCATCCACAGCCCCTTAGAATGCCTTTCATTCTTCCTCATTTCCCTGGAGAGGGAAACTGAACTACTTCCATGGCACTAAATTATCACAGTTGGCTCAGGAAAAAACCATTACTCACTGGTCAGTGCAGGCAGGCAACAGCCAAAAGGGCAAATACCTCCTACCCAAGCAATGCACTGACCTGAGCCTGTTTCGTGGGACTCCTCCCTTCTTGGCCTCGCAGTTCCTTCTCCTGCCATGCAGGACAGGATGTGCACTTGGTCACTTTGCAGAAGTGCAGGTGCTCTGCTGCAGGACTGGACACCCAGGCACGGGACACATGCACGAGCACACCAGGGCAGGGGACTGTGACTGCAGAGCCAAACACGCGTCAGTCATGCGGTGGAAGAGAGCTGTGCTTCAGTCACATGGGCTTTTAAACAGTCCTGAAGGGCTGAACAAAATCACAATAAGATGGTTATGCATTAACTTGCTGTGACTTACCCTGTAAACAGTAGCATGGCTGATTCCCTTTGTGCTCTGGAAAGGGCAGAGCAGTTTTGCTCAGTGAACACTCCGAGTTAAATTAAAGATGTTAGAGATGTAACATGAGTAGCATATAAATACAAAAATGCTACAGTATAAAAGACCCCTACAGGCTTTATTGTACCCCAGTTCACTTGGGATAAGGAGCACATGGAGTATGAGAAATTAGCCTGAGCTAACAAACTCAGGAATTACAGTGTCAGCTTACCTGGCCTAGTTGGGGATGCATTTGGGTAGGCAGGAGCCTCACAAAGCCCCTCAAGCTGCTGTATCCTGGGTAAGGTGTTATGTTCCAGAGACTCACGGACCTTTTCTGTCTTTCACCCCCTTCCTTTCAGGAAATCTGAGATATAGCAAATGTGGGAGACTGCTGTTCTTCCCCAGGGAGCTGGAAATCTTTCCCAGGAGATGTATTGGACACTCTGAGTTCTCACACTATGCCCAGGTGGATCTCGGCAAGGTTATGAAAGAGGCAAGAGCACCCAGGATGCTCCTGTGTGTGCTTTTCCCTTGGAGACTTGTGGAGTTTGAAAGCCAGAGGAACTTTCCCCTTCACTTCAGCTGAGCTTGGATGAGCCCCAAAGAACACAGAGTAACCCAACATTGTGAAATTATGAAATGTAGGAGACAACACTCATATTTTCTTAGTATCAAAAGAGAGGCCATTATATAATATTTGCTACTGTGGGGGAACAGGAATGTCTGCTTGGTTCCATGATTACAGGGGAGGCAGTAGCAAGTTAATGCTTAACTATCTTCTTGAGATTTTGTTCAATCCCTCAAAGACTTAAGAAAAACCCCAAGCCAGTCTTGAAGTGGAATCTTGAAGTGGAAAAAATCTGGAGCGGTTTTATTACGTGACACACAGATACCGCCCTGTGATCCAATCCACTGCCCTGCAAAAGGAGAAATCAGTGCTCTCCAAAGAGGGAGCCTGTCAGTGTGTGAGGAAAAGGGGAGATGCCTGATTGCTCACTCTGCCTCCTACGCCCTTGCCCCGGTGAAGTCACTGACTGTTCCTGTCCTTGGGTGCTGCGAAGTTCCAAGAAGCCAGTGCTTGGCTCTGCCAAAGCCACGCCTGCCTGAGGCTGAGCTGGCAGGGCCAAGCACTGCAGGGATAGTGAATCCCTTGCAAACACCAGCTGGGCCTTTATCGGCACAAATGCCGGGTGGGAGCTGGCACAGCCACTGCTCGTGCTGCTCTGCTGCTGCTCCACTGACACTCTGCCCGTGGTCTTTGAGCCATGCGATGAGACTGAAGCTCCTGCTGCTTCCTGCAGGGCAGTGCCTGGTGGGTGCTGTAGGGCCAGGGGAGCTGGGCAGCTCCCCTTGTGCAGCCTCTGTAGCTCTGCAGGAGCTCCTGCCCACTGCCAAGGGCACCAGAGGTCTGTACAACCCCCCGGTGTGTGTGAGATGGGCCATTTTTAACTGGTTATGGACCGTGGGGCTCATCACTGTGTCCAGGGTGAAGGGGAGCAGTTACGCCACCTGCCAGTTACAGAAATCACTGAGGCTGGAAAAGACCTCTGAGACCACCAAGTCCACCCTGCGCCCGATGCCCACCTTGTCCCCCAGTCCAGAGCACCGAGTGCCACGTTCAGCCGTTCCTTGGACACCTCCAGGGATGGGGGCTCCACCACCTCCCGGGGCAGCCCCTGCTAATGCCTGAACACCCTTTTTCTGGGAAGAAAGTGCCACAGAACGGGTAAGGCTGGAAGGGACCAGCAGAGGCCACCAGGCAGGACCCACTAGAGCCCGGGGCACCCCTTGAGGTAGAGGCTGGCCCAGGGAGCCGTGGTTGGGTCTCTCCGGGGGCGGTGTCTCCCCCAGTTCCATTGTGTCCCCCCGGCCGGTGTGCCGGGGCCGTGTCTGTCCCCCCGGGCCGCGCCCGTCTCTGTCTCCCCAGCCCGTGTGTCCCGGCGCAGGCGCGGCGGTGACGCCGAAGGGCCGCGCGGGGCGGGCCCGGGCGGCGGCGGCGATGAAGGTGGCGGTGGCCGGGTGCTGCCACGGCGCCCTGGACAAGATGTACGAGACGCTGGAGCTTTTGCAGCGGCGGCACAACGTGCGGCCCGACCTGCTGCTGTGCTGCGGAGACTTCCAGGCGGTGCGCAACGAGGCGGACCTGCGCTGCATGGCCGTGCCGGCCAAGTACCGCCACATGCAGACCTTCTACCGGTGAGCGCCCGGCCCGGCCCTGCCCCGGCCCCGCGGGCCGGCCGGTGCAGCAGCTGCCGTGTCTCCGCAGGTACTACTCGGGAGAGAAGAAAGCCCCGGTGCTCACCGTGTTCATCGGCGGCAACCACGAGGCTTCCAACCACCTGCAGGAGCTGCCCTACGGCGGCTGGGTGGCCCCAAACATCTACTACCTGGGTAAGGGCCCTGCCCTCAGCCCCAGCCCTACCCGGCCTGGCCCCGGCTCTTTCCAGACCCGGCTCGGCCCGGCCCTTTCCAGACCCGGCCCGGCCCGGCCCCGCCGTGTCCCCTCCAGCCGTGTCCCCTCCCGCCCCTGCCCTGGGTGAGCGGCCCTCGTCCCGTGTCCCGCAGGTTACGCGGGCGTGGTGCGGTTCCGCGGCGTGAGGATCGGCGGCATCTCGGGCATCTTCAAATCTCACGACTACCGGAAAGGTACCGGGACAGCGGGGAGGGAGTACCGTGGGGGTGGGCCTGGCTATCTTCATTCCCGCTCCAGCTCTTGGGCTGGAAACCTCTGCTGGCTCAATACCCCAATTTTTTTGGAGTTGGTGATGAGTCTGTAGCTGCCCGGCGACCACAGCAAGACGCAAGGCACCTTGTGAGTGTTGTTGGAACAGTCTTGTTTCTTCAGTGGCAGCGTCCTTTTAGCCTGCAGTGCAAGAGTCTTTAGTTTTCCTTGTGTTCCCAGTGTGACACTATATAAATGTCCTGTCCTGTCCTGAGTTTTAATGTCCATACATCCAGTTCCTCCTGGTTATATGTATGCGTATTCAAGAGTTCTTCCTTGGAAGGGTGGCAAAAATCTTGTCATAGATGATGCCCTGTGTCAGTGTTCTTTCTGATCTTGGCACATGCAAGAGTGATTGTGATTACTGTACAGTGCTATCTTCAGTAACATGGGGCTTCAGAGAAGCTTTGCAGGTGGCTTTCAAGCTGCAGAGTACTGAACTAGTTCTCTAGAATATCCGATTCTGTCTAAAACCCATCAATGCTAATTAAATTTGTTGTTATCAAGGCACACTTTGTATGCCTGAATATTGCGTGTGGGAGGTGAGTCGAGACTCTCTTGACAATAACCGTGACTACTAAGTAAATATGCTTTCTGTGCATTCTTTAGAGTATGTAGGAGCTGTGCTAGACTTTCAGGTTCCTTGTCCCCAGGCAAACTTGGAAACTCATCCCTTTGTCAGGGGTCGTGTTTGTGGTACCTGTGGGTTGTGACAGGGATCTTTGAGCTGCTGCTGAACCTATTAAGCTGTAGTTTGGTGGTGGGTGGCAGCACTCTTGAATAAACACAGAAAATCACAGCCTCAGTGGCCTGAGTCAGGAGTCAGTTCTCATGTGGTGCTTTGTGATCTTTTAGTTTATGCTTCTTTCTGAGTTGTTATATCCTAATTTATGTTCTGACCACTGACCACTCACAGAGGCTTGCTCTGTGCTCTCACTGTGTCTGTGCCCAACTTCAGCATTTTCTCATCTCCCCTGTGTTCTTCTCCTGTGCCAGCAAGGAATGGACCAGCAGAGGTTCACTTGCATGTGCGGCCATGCTATTACACGATACAGAAGTGTCGTGGCTGTGCAGCAGGCAGCTCTCTCTGGAATTGCCCATGGCTGTCACTGTGGACGTACTGAGGGCTACCATCTCACCTCAGAGCTGCAAAACCTCATAATTCTTTCTGCCAGAAGTTATTTGTTTCCAACAGGTCCTGGCTTTTGAGTATTGGAGCCAAATTCCTGGGTTTTGTTTCCACAACCGAATTACTGTATTTTCTGTATTTGTGAAAAGAAGACACACAATGGAAGAAGTGCCCATTGTTGGAGGCACATTTTTACAACATATTTGCCTCACACATAAAAGATTGGCAGCCTGTTGGTGTAAGCTCTGTGTCTGATTAGTGCCAGCTTTGTATTTGGGGTGCTCTAGGTTTCTGTGTGACCCCAAAACTCTACCTTGCCAGCAGTGTAGGAGGGAACTACTGTTTCAAGCAACTACTTTTGTTTTCAATGTTTCAGGCCACTTTGAGTGCCCACCATACAATCAGCAAACAATTAGAAGTGCTTACCATGTGAGGAATATTGAAGTCTTCAAACTCAAACAGGTTAGTGAAATTCCTGTTTTTTTAAACAGCGGTAAATAGTTCTTGTTCATTTGGAAGTGAGAAGTTCTGTCCAACTCTGTCCAAGTTGTTGTTGGATAGCAAATCTTGCCAACAACTCTCAGTTGCTTTGGGCAGACCATTTTATGTTGGATGTTGTTCCACTGTTGTTCCTGCTGAGTATCTCCCCCAATGCTTTGTGTAGCAGTGCAGATTTGGTGTGAATCAGGCACAGACAGGAGTGGGCTTTTTGTGTGGTTTTTTTTTTTTTTTAATTGGATAAAACTCTTAATTGTTGGATAATTGGATAGAATTTTAATTGGAAGGTACTCCAGTGATACCCCTCTGTTCCAGCTTTACCTTAGCCTTAGGAAGGTGGGTGCTACCTTATCTAACATCCTAGGTGGTGGTTGGTACAAAGTTAACTATTCAAAATTGAACCAGCTAAACAAGCTGATCCCAAATCCCCATGGTTTAAGTCTTTTTGACCCCAGGGTGAGAAATTCAAAGGACAGTTTCACTTTATTTTTGAGCTCTTACCTACTCCCTGCTGTTGTCACAGGGTCACTCCATTTGGCTGAGGTTGTGGTGTAAATACATATCTCTTTAAGCATCTTGTGAAGGATTGTCCAGGTTGCACTTGCGCACTGAAGTTCTCAGTAGATACAGGGATGCTGGACACAGAGTGAATCTTTGCTTCATTGCAAAGAGTTTGATGTGTTTCACTCTGAGTTTCTTGTTACTTGGACTCAGGTTTCATCCAGAGGTGGGTTCTGATGCAACTGAGGGAAATATTAAATCAAGACACACTTTAAGACATTGCTTAGATCTGAGAGGTTCTTCCTTTGAGGAAGAATATTGTGCTCAGCCATTATCCCTTTTAAACAGAGCTTTTAACAATTTCACAAGGAAGAAGATGCCTTGGGTTGTGGACAGAGAACTTGATCTACAGCTGTAATTCCCTCTGAGTGCCTGACTCCTATGGTGATGATGTGATCTCTTTTCTAAGGCAGTACAAACCCCAGCTGACTGTCCCAAGAAAGTGTAGAACAAACCATGGACATCAGAGTCCCTTTGCAGCTCCAGAGGCCACCCTCAGGATGGGGCTGGGCAGTGTGCTCCCTGGCTTTGGAAGAGAAGCTGTTGGTCTGAGAGGGAACGTGTGACATGTGTTCACCTTGTGCTGTGGGATTCCTAACTCCTTTGTCACACGTGGTGTTTATACGCTGTGTGTTTGTCCGGCAGCTGAAGCGTCCCATGGATATATTCATGTCCCATGACTGGCCCAGGAGCATTTACCACTATGGGAACAAGAAACAGCTCCTCAAAATGAAATCCTTCTTCCGCCAAGAAGTGGAGAGCAACACGCTGGGGAACCCTGCTGCCTCGGAGCTCCTGCAGCACCTGAAACCCACCTACTGGTTCTCAGCACACCTGCATGTTAAATTCGCAGCTTTCATGCAACATGAGGTAAAGGGGGAAAGACAGTGAAGAATGCATGTGCTCCACACACAGGTTAGAATGCCACTGCAAGTAATCATGTCCAGAAAAGCAACTTCTTTGTGGCTTTTGTTGCTAAAACTCAGCTTAAGCCACAAAAAAAAAAAAAGTGGTGTTAAGACTACTAGTTTGTGTAAGTTAAAGAGATGTTATAAATCAGGGGTGTAACTCCCTTAATCTTCTTCAAGGATGGCATAAAATAACTGGTGTTACTTTGCTTTTGAAATGTGTTAATTTAGCTTACAGGAAAGCACTCTCTTTCCAGCTCTGTTGGAGAAGGAGACAACTTCAAAATAAGGTGATAGAGGAGCCACTGAAGAGGGTGGTTACCTGTGGGGGGAGGGTGCCTGTAGTAAGGCTTGGCAGGTGGGGTTGCCTGGTGGCCTGGGTTATGCCAAAAACCAGCCTCTGTAGTTGAAACAGTTATTCCTGAAAGTGGTGGAACCTCCTTTTCCTGTTTGCAAGTTATTTCGGTGTAAAAATGTAACTCCAGATCTTGCAGGCTCAACAAGTCTGTTTTAATGTGGTTACAGTTTTCCTTTTTGCTCCAGGGCTGGCTGGCCTCAGCCTTAGGGACGACATGTGGCTCCTGATTTATCTTGCTGTCACTTGCATCCAGCTTCTGGGTGACTCCCAGGGAAGTCTGTCCTCCTCTTTTGTCCCTTCATCCCTTTCTTATGAACCCAGGCTATGTTTCTATTTCAGAAATTATTTTTCCTGCAGAAGTTATGCCTGTAAACCTCGTTTAGAACAGTCAGATTTCACAGAACTGCTAAATGACTGTATGAACACCATTTGTTTCCTAGACAAACTCCAAAGAAGAGCTGCCAAAAGCAACCAAGTTTCTGGCTCTGGATAAATGCCTACCACACAGAGACTTCCTGCAGGTGATGGACATGTGCACTGGGTTTTCACAGGCAGTATTTCCCTTGTCTGGGCTGCTACTGCTGAGCTTTGATATCAGCTGGAGAATAGTGCTGATAAATTTTAAAGAAAGGAGGAACAGGGGATGTGTGGAATGGTCTTTGCATAATTTTGGGCTGAAATAAGCAGACCTCAGGTCTTGCCGTGCAGGTGCAGTGTTTGCTTATCCCTACCATCCCCTTTCACCTTGGAAAAATAATTTGACTTATATGGATGAGTCTAAAACTCCTTGCTGTGAGAGGGAACCCCTGACAGCTCTTCTTCAAATGCAGTCAAGTGTTTTAGGAGTCTGAAAGTAGCTTTAGTTGATCAGCTGAAAGGGAAGGTGGTTCATTATCTGTGTTTTGGACACGTGCTGGGCTTTGGCTATGCAGAGGGACACAGGGGTGCTAGTCCAGACTTAAAATCCTGTAGCAAGGCTGATCTGGGTTAGTACTACCTGCAACAGCGTGGTGATGCCCACGTGTGTAGCTCTGGTTTAAAATGCATCTTTTTTTATTTTTTTCTGTTCTAAAACTACCTTAAAAAGTGGAATTACTTTACGGATCATTTAAAATCAGAGTCTGACTAGTGCTTCGACTAAACCAAACACTTTGATTTGGGTTAATGTCATTGAAGACAAAGTGATTTGGATTTCAATCCATCAGCAGCTGAAAGAGTTTAAAACCAATTCCTGTTCATTGCTGTGTGTTCATGCAGCAGAATGACTGTTGCCATCAGTTCTTGATGTGTATGTGAATTTAAGAGCAGGCAAATTGAATTCTAAGTTGCATAACTGCCCAGTTGCTGGCAGTAGGGAGGGGAGGTTGTTCTGCTTTTTATTTGCTGTAAGCTAAAATTCAGAAATGCCTTTTTTGCTGTTGTTGATTGTCCTTTTTTAGCCCCTTCTGGTCTAAACCTGTAGGTAGGGCTCGAAAGGACTTGTTTGGTTGAGACCTCTAGCTCAATGTACTTTAAACAGTGTTAAAACTCTGCACAGTGAAAGTAACAAAACTTTAAGGAGTTTCTGATGTCAAGAGGAATAACTCTGTAATTTCTCTTGTTATTATCTGTGTTGTGTGTCTTGTGAACAGATAATAGAGGTGGAGCACGATCCTAATGCAGGTGACTCCCTGGAGTATGATGCTGAGTGGATTGCAGTGCTCAAGGCCACCAACAGCCTGGTTAATGTGACTCAGAGCTCCTGGAACATGCCTGAAAAGAACGGCCTCCATGCCAAGTATGTTGCCTGCAAAGTAGAGAGGAAAGTGGGATTTATTTTTTTTTTTCTAGATTGGAAGTAAAGTTATGTCAGAGCTGTGTTTGTGTCCTGTGGCCTGTCATGCCTGCAGGACTCGCTGAATGCCTTGGGAAGCAGAGGGCATGCTCAGAGCTGTCCCCTGGAGCAAGCAGCTTCCTTCCTGCTCTTCCTGGGCACTTAGTTTTGTTTTGCAAACTCAGGTACCAGCACTGGAGGGACAGAAAATACCCCGTGGCTGATCATCCTGCCAGTCAGATTGTGAGGCTGAAAATCAGGTTGGGTTGGCTGACATAATATACAGATCCCTGGGAGAGGAGGGGGAAATATCAGTACTGACCTAAGGAAACTGAAAGCTTCCCTGAAAAGATCAGGGAATGATCTGAAAATGATCAGGGAAAGCCTGAGAAATGAGGTGTCTGTCGTGGGATGGATTCAGAACCCCTCCTTTCAGTGGGAACAGGCAGTGCCTTTGGACCAGCTGCACTTGTTTAAACTCTCTGCACTTTTTTAGGTGGGATTACAGCGTGACAGACGAAGCCATCAAAGAGGTGTTAGAAGAGCTGAATCATAACCTCACAATCCCCTGTAACTTCACCTTGACAGCTGCTTGTTATGATCCCAGCAAACCCCAAAAAAACATGCAGCCAGTTCATACCATCAATCCCCAGACCACCGAGTTCTGCGCCCAGTTTGGCCTCACTGACATCAACAACAGGATCCAGCAGGCGAAGGAAGAGGGCTCAGGACGGGGTGAATGTGAAGAGGAGGAGGAGGAGGAGGAGGAGATGGACAGCACTGGGTCAGCAGAGGAGCCCAGTGAATATAACACAGATAACTCTGGCCTCTCCTCCATCAATCCAGACGAGATAATGCTGGATGAAGAAGGTGGCGATGAAGACTTGAGTACATGCTCTGTGGACCCTTCCCCTGATCACCCTCCCGAGTTCTCCACCAGCTTCTCTGACATCCGGATCATGCCAGATTCCATGGCAGTGTCCTCCGATGATGCCATGGACTCCAACAACGAGGATCTGGAGAAGTCTGGTGGCAGCAAGCAAGGGGAGGAGAAGAGCTCCACTGATAGACCGTTGAAGCGCATTGGGGGTGATGAGAACGGGAACAGTGGCATTAAAAAGATCAAGAGGAGGAATCAAGCCATCTATGCTGCAGAGGAGGAAGACAAAACAGATTAGCACTTCCTGGGATGGGTAACTAAGTTCTCTGCCAGCCTTTCTGTGGGAAGGTGGTGAGAACTGCTGGACTACTTATGCTTTTAATGTTACGTGATCTTATTCGTTTACTTTCTTGAGCTGGATGTACCTCTCACGGAGAAGATGATTTATCTGGGTTAAACGTGGAAGTCAGAAGCAGACTATTCCAACAAAGTACTTTGACAAAGGATTTAAAGCTTATCTATCACTCAGTTTTGCTTCAGTCCCTGGTTATTGGTGTATTCTCCATATCTTCAGCTGTACAGCTCTACAAGAGTCACTGTGCTCGTCTAACAACAACTTAGACTGTAACCCAAGCCCAAGTGAGAGGATGTCTGACTTACAAGACTGAATGATTTGATTTTATTGCTTTTGTCTTGTTTTATACTGAACTTTTAATACAAAGTAGCACACAAAATAGCTCTGTGAATTACATTTGAAAGTAGAATTCCCAGGATAACAAAACAGCAATAGAAGAATAAAGATTTTTTTTTTTTCTGGTCTTAGTCATGCCATAGGAAAACTTCATGGTTGTAAACAAAACTGTGTATTGTCCAGGATTGCTTTTAATTATAGTTTTGGTAGGGAACCAAGTCTCTTGATTCGAAGAATGACAGTTTTATGGGGACCATGGCAAAGTGCATCTCTGTTCTTAGAACCTCATTTGTGCTCTGTTTCTTAAGACTTGAGAACAATGTCTTAAAACACAAGTAGTTAGGAAGAACAGCTTCCTAAATGTGGGCATCACCACTGTCCCAGTTCTTACTGATTATTAATTAAGGCTCTGCTGTTCATACAAGGTGGCGGCTGTTTTTAAGTTGCCTCAGGCAGTAGCACCCATTGTGATCATCAGCCTCCCTTTTCACTTTTCACTTCTTTTCAGTAGCTGTAACTTGCTGAACTCTTACAGCTGGATTTGGAATCTTCCAAAGCACCTTCATAACCTTTGGCTGAGAGCAGAGACCCTTTTGGAAGATTTCTTTTTGCTTTTTTTTACCCTGAATTATTAGCAACCAAATTAGACACTCCTTTGGCCTGAAAGGCTGTGAGGATAACAAAACTTCCTGAGTTCATGGCAGTGACAGTGTTTTCAAGCAGATGTCATTAGACTAATTTCTGCCAGTGTCTGCTGGTGTTCTGGGCTAAGCTTTTGGAGTCCAGACTTCCCCACAACTGTGGAAGTAGCTCCCGTGCTCTTCCCCCTCCAAGGCACAGGGAGTGTGGAGGAGAAAGTGTCCTAACAGGAAGAAGGAACTGGACAGGGAGCAGTGAGTGAAATGGATTGGTGAGTGTGAGTTCTGTAGCAGGGAAACACTTTGATCTCAAGAACCACCTGGTTCCTCTCCTGTCAGCAGTTCACTATGAAAACTAAACGTGTGTGAGTATTCAAGGACTAGGACATGACAAAATTCATGCTCCCTTAGTTGAATTACCAGCTCCTCTGTCAGAACAGCCCCAAAGGGCCGCGCTGAGGGGTGAGGAGAACCTGCGAGTGTTTGGGGTGACCCTCAGGGGGTGTAAAGTAGCTCTGAACTGTCAGATAAGATACTGAAGATAGCTGAGTCTCCTTAAGGGTCCTTGAATCAGGACCCTTAAATCTGAATCGTGCCTCATGATCTGAACACTACAATAAAGTATTTTAAGGATAAATTGTGTTCTGGACTTGAAAGCCACCCAAGGGCCCTGAGTGTGGTGTGGAGCTCTCAGGTTCTCTGCACTGAGTGGAACATGTGTCTTACATGGAATAGACTTTTCACTCTGATTTCTATTGCTTTTAAAGCTGTTTTGTTGTGTCTTGTCCCACATCCCCCCGCTTCTGATAAATATGTTTAGGCTCTTTAGAAAGCAGGAGACTTGTACAAGGTACAATACTGATTTTTGAACCTTTTCAGGAATTTTTTATGAACTATTACAGCATCCATTAAGCAGAATGCAGCTGGTAAATACAGTTACCATACACTTGTCCAGAGCTACCACTTGTCCACACCCTCTTTGCAGTTTGCAGTGTCCTCCACTACCTTGCTCTCATCCATTATGGATTTTCCCTGCTGGCAAGATCCTCTGCTGCATGATTTCCATTGAAGCTCTGAGCTGTTCCAGTAAAGGCCAAATACTTCAAAAAGTATGTAAAACTCTAGGGAAGGCTGACAACTTTAAATTGGCTTTTAAGACCCAGAGCCTCTAGTCCTCTTTAGAAAGAAGCTTTAGAGTTTCTTTGAAAAGTTTTGACTTCTGAAAATTTGGTGAGAAATCTCTGAAAAGTGTTCCTCTGTCAGACCCTTGTTTTGCAGATTTTTCAGTGTATGAGTTTTGCACTTGCTTCAAAACTGTATGTGCTGTTATTAGTGCTTGAGAAAAATGTTCACCTCTTCCATTCCAGGCCAGCACACAGATATTTTCGGAGCATGACACTGATCTACTCAGAGGAAAACAAAAAGACAAATAGCCTTTTTTCAAAAGTAGAGTATTTTTTTAAATTAAAGCTATTAAAGTGACCTTGTGGCTGCACCTTGAAGTGTATTTATTGTGTTCCCATTATCCTCTGCAGTCTCTAACAGCTGGAGAAACTCTTTACCTGGGAAGAGCAAAAGGTGAGACACGTGAACCTGAGCTGTGGTGTTTTTACTGTCCTGCCCCCCATTTAGTTCTGACTTTGAGGTTGGTATAATGGGTATCCCCACACTTCAGGTGGGGAAATGCAGGGACTGATACAAACCCAGCCCATCCTATCGCGCTGCACAGCCCCTCTGAGTGACGCCGTGGGGTCCGGGGGGTATTTCTGTGAAAAGCAAACTCACAACCAAACAAATCAAAGAGGGCAACAAAAGCAATGACAAAAAGGGGAACTCAAACCATTTATACGCGACCGAGGGTGGGAACGGGGGGTCAGGCTCGGACTCCGCTCGGGCTCGGTTCGACTCGGGCTCAGGCCCCGCTCGGCCCCTTCCTGCTCTGCGGGGCTCGGCTCCTTTCGGTTCCTTTCGGCCCCGCTCGGCTCTGTCCGGCTCCCGGCGGAGGCCGCGCCCTGTCTCTCCCCACTCTCTTCCTAACCCCCCCCACCCGGGCGCATGCGCAGAGCGCGCGTCGGCCCGCACGCGGCTGCCCGCGCGGGGCGCATGCGCGGAGCGGCGGCAGCGGGGGCTCGGCGGGGCCGATTCGCTGGGCCCGCCCCGTCCCCGCGGCCCCGGCCCGGCCCCGCGCCCGCCCCGACCCGCCGGACCCGCCCGCCGCTCCGCCATGAGCGCCGCCTGAGCCCGCCGCCAGCCCGCCCCAGGCGCCGCGGGCCGCTCCGCCAAGATGGCGTGCGTGCTGGAGGCGCCGCTCCGCATGAGTGTCCTGTCGGTGAGTGCCGGGCCCGCTGACCTTGGCCCCGGGGCCGGGCCCGCTCTGCTGGCCGGGGCCGCGCTCCTTCCCCTCAGCGCCCCGAGCCGGGGCGGGGTTACCCTCCCGAGCGGCCCGGGCCGGGGCTGCGGAACCGTGTCGTTACCGTGGCACGGCCCGGGCTCGGCGGCTCCCTTGGCCCACGGACCGCCCGTGGCCGGGGTGCGGAGCGGGGCGGGACGGGGGCTCCCCGTGCCCACCCGGCGGGGCGCGGCTCTCCCCGGGGCCGCGGGGGGCTCTGGCAGCCCCCGGCACAGTCCGAGCGGTCCCGGGCTGTGCGGCAGGAGCGGTGCGCAAGGGACACCCGGGTGCTGCTGCCCGCGCAGGGTCGGGGCTTTTGCTTTTTTCCCCCCCAAAATCCGCCTGGACACGGACACCCTTCTGCATGCTGCAGACCTTGGAGTTGGTGGTGTGGGAGGGTATTTTAGAAACAGCTGTGGGGTCTCTGAAGTCTTAAAAACTTCTGCATATAAAAATACACGGGTCAGACAGCTAAAAGCTGTTCTGAAAAATATTGTCTTTCATTACACAGTGGAAGTTTATCTGTAGGGTTTGTGTGGCACAGTTTAATGGTATTCCTGGAGACAAAGGAGCCTTGCTGTCTCTAGATGACTCTCCTCTGCTAGGTGAGACCAGAGGCAAGGAGCTACTGCCTCTGACATCTGGGTGGGGAAGCAGGAGGAGAGACAGTCCCTGAGCAGGCGCTTGCAAAAGCAAGGAAGAGTTTTCAATTCCCATTTAACTTCTCTCAAGGAAAACTCCTAAGGAAAAACTGGGAAAGGCTTAATAAAAAGTGAGCTGGCTAGGAGAAGAGGTGAGATAATGGAAGCACAACCTGGCACGTGTTCGTGAGAACCTGCAGGGAAAATTCCCTTCCTCTTTCCCACCCTTGTTTTTTGGAACGCTTTCCATCTCCAACCTTGGATCTTCTCAAAAGGAATAGCAAATCACTGGTGCATAAATGTGTAGCTTACAAGCATGGTCCTGTTGCTGGGAAGAGTTTGCTTTGTCTTCTGAAGCGCTGTGAGAATGCTGTGGGGAATATTGTGCTGCTGTCCCCGCTGAGGTTGTGAGGGACAGGCTCTGAAATGTGTAGGTATGTTACAGAAAAAAGTCTTCTTACCAGCTTCCTTATTTTGGAGGGGTTGTGGGTATGTGTCTTGAGCAACACCAACTGCTCCTAGAAACTTTTTCTTTCAGGAATTCATGTTTATTGTGTATAGTAATTAAACATAATAAAACTGCAATTCGAGGCAGTGCTGATAACTGCAGCTCATAAATAGCTCCCTGTTACCTTGCTCTGACACCGTGTTGTTATCTACATTAAGCACCTCATCTTCCCTAAATCACACTTGAACACAGGGTTAATCCCTGAGTGGATGTTGCCCAGCAGTAACACGTGTCACATTTAAATGTCATTCTCGAGGTTTACTGCCTCTTGCCTGAGAGATTTTGTGGGGCTGCTGCTGCACAAGCCATTCCTGTTCTCCTGCCATTCTCTGAGTTGATATAAACTTGCCATTGCTATTTGTTTTCTCTCTGCAGGAGGTCACAGCCAGCAGCCGCCACTATGTGGACAGATTGTTTGACCTCGACCCCCAAAAAGTCCTGCAAGGTGTCATGTAAGTCATTGGAACACCCCTGGGCTCTTGGTTCTGCGTAGGCCAGGGGTCCTCGATCCCACTGGAGCTGGAGGGCAGGGGCAAGAAACTCTTCCTGTCTTTTTTTTTTGAGAAATCCAGTTGGCAGATCTTAATGCCCACATGGTAGTATTGCTGTAGGGATAGTATTGATGCAGACTCTCTGTAGTGCACGTGGGTCATAATGCAGCCTCCAGATTGCCAAAAATGAGGTTTAACTTTCTGTGAGCGTTGACCAACTTTTTGGGATACGCTTCTTCCTTTTGGCCACCTTTTGCTCCTTTTCCAGGTCTGGTGAGATTCTTATCTCTTCCTTTACTGCTGAGTCAGTGTATTTGCCTCTTACTCTTCCCCTGCTGCCCTGCCTCAGTGTTGGCTTTTACTTTTTTAATGCTTGGCTTCTGTCTCACCATGGGAACTGCAAGCTGAAAGAAATGCTTCCAGAGAAATTAATTTGGATGCAAATTATATTTCTGTACTTCTGTTGCATGCCGGTGGTCAGGGGCAGTGACTGAGAGAGTGAGGGAAGGACTTGTCCTGCTGCAAAGGTCTGGTTGTTTCCTTGCTGTCCCTGGGCTATGAGCTTTCCATCAGAGCCACACAGACAAGTGGCAAACGAGTCCCTGCCCAGGACTGCCTTTTGGTGGTGAAACAGGACCTCTTTGGGCTTCCCAGTAACTTGCTGGCTGTGGCTGTCTAGGAAAACACCAGGAAACATCAAAGGACCGAGTGGATCAGAAAGCCAAGGATAGTGGTTGTGTTGCTTAGCACAACCTGAGACGTTTTCTAGTAGCAGATGAAAACAGTTATTCCAAAAGGTGCCCCAGGGCAACATATCAGAATGAATGTCCCCTTAAATAGGTGAAAAACACAACAGACATGAGAATGTCCCAGCACCATTCTTGGCTGAAATACCCCCTTAGCCGTACAAAACCTATGATACTCTCCCATAACTCTGTGCAGGTTCTTAACTCTGCTGCAGGAGAGTCTTGTGTTGCTCCCACCCCTTGGCCTTCCTAGTCCACTCCCTCAGGGGCTGGTGGGGTGGTCCTGGGGCGAGGATGTGTCTCATCCAGTGTCCCAGTGGGGTGACTGAGCCCCTCTTTTCTCCTTGGCAGATGCTCTGAGCCCTGGCTGGCGCTCCCTCCCTGCTATCCTTTCTTTTCAAAGGACTGGAACCCACAACCCTTGGTAATCCCTTCCCTATCTTTTGATGTGTTATTCTTATCTTTTGAAGTGTAACTGATTTCCCAGAAACAGGAAGTTTTAGGCAGCATCTTTGTCTCAGTTAACATCTGAAATTCTTCATCTTGTCCGTGGGTGTCAGTGGATTCTATGCTGAGAGGCTTTTCTTGTATTTAAAGACAAAGAAAATAACAATTTATTTCATAATATCTTTCACTGGGCAGATTTGGATGGTAAAGCTGTATTTGTGATACTCTGGTTGGAATCTTCGTTGTGGGAGTGTGTCTTTGCTGACTCTGAGCCAGTCCTATGTGGCAGATGTGGTGTTTTCAGGATATTGATGGATGGGTGTGAAGGGAAATGTATATAAAAAGTAGAATTTCGAGTAGTGTATGTATTAAACATTTCTGTCAGTCCAGGGTTCTCTTTGGGCAGAAAAATCCTGCTTTTCCCTGCTTCCTTTGACTTCAGGGTGTCTGCAGAGGTATTGCAGTTGGGATGAACTGATATTTGGGGTGGAGTAGAGCAGGATTGCAGTTCTTCCAAAGTGCCTCTCAGAAGCTTTACCAGCTATGCTGCATCCTTTGCAGAAAATCTTTGTTTCCTAAGATGTGCTGGTTTCTTTTCCTGCATCCTGGCTGCAAATACTGATGACCTAGATTTTTATTTTGATTGATGGAACTGTATGAATATCAAGGATCAGAAAATAGGCTGTTGTAAGAGGCTTTGTTTCTGCTGATTGTCTTCAGTTACAATAGTCCTGTTTTTAATATACTTGAATTAATGACTTGGGTTTGGGGCCTTTTTTTAATTGCATCCTTGTAATTCTAATGCAACCCAACTTCTGAATGAGCTTTGATAAAGGTAAGATGTAGCTAAACGCTTCTTGAACTTGAAAATCATGCCGATCCAGTTTTCATCTTGTAACTTGAGAAAGCTTTCATTACATATTCTGGAGGTATTTAAATGATCAGAATCTCTTTTTTTCCTCTCTTTCCCATGAATTTTTAGAGAGGTGGTGTTCAGATTCTCCTTTGTCCAGACAGTGAAGCTTCACCTGGCTGGGAGATTTTTCCTCTTCCTCATAACGGGGAAACAGAACCCTGTTGTTTGGTACTGCTGACTGTGGTTCTGTTGATCTCATTAAAAAATGCCAAGTTTCCTGCAGAACTTCTGTTCACATCATTTGCACCATGTTCAGCTGGGGGTTGATAGGGGAAGGGGAGAATTTGGAGTACCTGCCAGTGAATCCTGAATTTGAGCTCAGGGATTGAAAGGCTGAGATTCCTACAGGGGTGACCC